CATATGATCCAGCCATTCTACTCCTAGGTATTTACCCAAGGGAAATGAAAGCATATGTCTCTAGAAAGACTTAGACTTGCATGTTTTATTTGTAATAACCAAAAATTGGAAGCAACCCAAATGTCCGTCAACAGGCAGTTGGATAAACAAATTGAGTATATGTGTACAATGGAATACTATTTATAAATAAAAAGGAATGAATTATTGATATGTGTAATAGCATTGATAAATCTTAAAATAATTATGCTGAGTAAGAAAAGCCAGAGAAAAAAGATTATATATATAAAATTCCATATATATATATATGGATATATAGATATAGGTAAATCTAGAAAACTAATCTATGGTTCCAAGAAGCAGATCAATGTTTTCTTGGGGATGAATGGAGAGAAGTAGAAAGAAGAGAATATAAAGAGGCACAAGGATACTTTTGGGTATTATGGATACATTCACTGTCTTGATTATGGTGTGGCTTCATGGGGGTATGTATATATCAAAATATATCAAATTGTATACTTTAAATATTTGTATATCAATTATATTATATTATTGTATATCAATTATATCTCATAAAGCTGATATATTCATCATATATATGTACATACATACACATACACATGTGTATATCCAGGTTTGTTAGAGTTTTAACAGTGGGACTGTGAGCATTTTTCAACACTTGGAAATTTTCAAACATACCCACTTCAGCTACTATAGACATTTTGCAAATCTTCTATCTTACCCATCTCATTCCCTTTTGTTGTTTTTGTTGTTGGAGTATTTTTAAATAAACCCCAGATAGCATGTCACTTCACCTGAAAATTCTTCAATATGTGTCTCCGCAAGGTAGGAACTTTTAAAAAACATAACCCCATGCCATTATTTATTGTAGGTATTTTCTAAAGTGAACGTGAATGGCTTTTGTAATATATATATATATATTTTATTGAGGTAACATTGGTTTATAACTGTTATAAAAATTTCAGGTGTACATCATTATATTTTGATTTCTGTGTAGACTACATCATGTTCACCCACCCAAAGACTAATTACCGTCCATCATCATACATATATGCCCTTTCGTAGCCACCCCTGACACAGGAAGGGTTAATAATCACTGGAAAAGGCTTGCAACAAACTGTGACCCGGAGGTGAGAAGGCCGGTTAGCCAATGATGGGTAAGACCTCCAGTGGGAGGCAACCTAAGCCAGGCATCGGTCGCCCGGGGGCACAGATGGAGACACAATATTGGGAGCAGGAGGGGCCGTTGCCTAGGAGGCCTTGCATGCTCCGAGATAAAATATACAAGCGCGGCAATAACATGATAATATCAAAACAGAGGCCAAGGGAGGGATCCTTGAGAAATCACTAAGAATTCTTGGCATTCGCTAATTACATTGTCCAGAACATCTGTGTATGTTTAACAGCTGTAAGCTATGTATATATTGAAACGCTGGTTATAATAAACTCAGAGTGGCCATCAGCCCTCTCCGCATCTATCCTGATGTGTACATCGGATTGCGACACCGACACCTTTCTCTCCTTTTACCCTCCCCACTCCCCGCTTCCCCTCTGGTAACCACCAATCTGATCTCTATATCTATGTGGTTGTTTGTTGTTGTATAGTATATTTTTATTGAGACAATTTTAGATTGACAAGCAGTTGTAAGAAATAATACAGGGCTATCCCTTTATACTCTTCCCAGTTTCTTCCAGTGGTAACATTTTGCAAAACTATTGTATAACATCACAACCAGGATATTGACATTGTTGCAATCCACTGATCTTATTCAGATTTCTCCATTTCACCTGTCCTCTTCTTATGTGCGTCTGTATGTGTATTAAATTCTACACAGTTTAATCACCTGTGTAGGTTTGTGTATCCATCACCACAGTCAAGATGCCAAACAGTTTCAACACCACAATGATCCCTCATGTTGCCCTTTTAGAATTGCCTTCCCCATTATCCCTAATCCTTGGCACCCATTACCATGTCCACCATTTAGAAAAGTTATTGCATGTATCAATAGTTCACTTCTTTTTATTGTTGAGTTGTATTCCATGGTGTATATTTATAATATAATACATTTTTGAGTCTTTTTTTTTTTTAAAGATTGGCACCTGAGCTAACAACTGTTGCCAATCTTCGTTTTTTTCAGCTTTTTCTCCTCAAATCCTCCCAGTATATAGTTGTATATTTTAGTTGTGAATCCTTCCAGTTGTGGCATGTGGGACATGGCCTCAATGTGGCCTGACAAGCGGCACCGTGTCCGCGCCCAGGATCCGAACCAGTGAAACCCTGGGCCACCGAAGCTGAACGCACGAACTTAACCACTCGGCCATGGGGCCAGCCCCTAAGGGTCATTTTTTTTTTTTTTTTTTTGAGGAACATTAGCCCTGAGCTAACTGCTGCCAATCCTCCTCATTTTGCTGAGGAAGATTGGCCCTGAGCTAACATCCATGCCCATCTTCCTCTACTTTATATGTGGGACGCCTACCACAGCATGGCGTGCCAAGAGGTGCCATGTCTGCACTGGGGATCTGAAACAGCCATCCCTGGGCCGCTGAAGTGGAATGTGCGAACTTAACCATTGCACCACCAGGCTGGCCCCAGGGTCATTTTTAAATACAAAAATTATTATCATCATTCTGCTGCTTTCAAAGGGCACCAATAATTTAATTTATTTTGCAGTTGCTGTGTGGCATGTTCTATAAATATCAATTAAGTCAAGTTGGTTGATGATGTTGTTTAGATCTTCTATATCTTTCCTGATTTTTTTGTATACAGATTCTGTCAATTACAGAGATAGGGAAGTTAATATCTCCAATTATAATTTTGGGGTTATTTATTTATGTCTTTAGTTTCTTCATCTTTGCTTCCTATATTTTGAAGCTGTGTTATTAGAAGCATATCCATTTAGGATTGTTAGCTCTTAATGATAAAGTGACCCTTTTATCATTATATAATGATCTTTTTTCCTCTGGTGATATTTCTTGCCTTAAAGTTTACTTTGTCTGATATGAATATATCCATTCCAAATTTCTTATGATTAGTATTTACATGGTATATCTTTTCCATCACTTAACTTTTAACTTGTCTGTGTCTTTATATTTCAAGTGGACTTTTCTTAGATAGCCTATAGTTGGATCTTACTTTTGTTATGCATTTTGACAACCTCTGCCCTTTTAAAAAAACAAAAAAGATTGGCACCTGAGCCAACATCTGTTGCCAATCTTTTTTTTTTCTTTTTCTCTTCTCCCTAAAGCCCCCCAGTACATAGTTGTATATTCTAGTTGTAGGTCCTTCTGGTTGTGCTATATGGGATGCCCCCTCAGCGTGGCTCGATGAGTAATGCTAGGTCTGCACCCAGGATCTGAACCAGCCAAACTCTGGGCTGCTGAAGTGGAGCGCACAAACTTAATGACTTGGCCATGAGACCAGCACCAACCTTTCCCTTTAATTGGAGTATTTAACTAATTTACATTTAATGTAATTATTGATATAGTTTTTTAAGCCTATCATCTTGCTAGTTTTTTCTATCTGTACTTGTGTCCTTTATTCCTGACTTCTTTTGGATTGAGAACATTTTAATATTCCATTTTGTCTCCTCCATTGGGTTTTTAGATGTACCTGTTTTTTTGTTGTGTTGGTTTTTTAAAGATTTTATTTTTTTCCTTTTTCTCCCCAAAGCCCCCCAGCACATAGTTGTATACTCTTAGTTGTGGGTCCTTCTAGTTGTGGCATGTGGGACGCTGCCTCAGCGTGGTCTGATGAGCAGTGCCATGTCTGCGCCCAGGATTCGAACCAACGAAACACTGGGCCGCCTGCAGTGGAGCGCATGAACTTAACCACTCGGCCACGGGGCCAGCCCCTAGATGTACCTGTTTTTTAGCGGTTGCTCTAAGGACTACAATATGAATCCTTAACCTGTCCCAGTTGGCCCTGAATTAATATTATACTTTTTCATGTATACCGTAAGAACCTTACAACAGTATAATTTCATTAGTATCCTCTTCCACTTTGTTATAAAACTAACAATACGTTGTTATTATTTTTAGTTTAAATAGTCATTTGCCTTTCAAGAAATTAAGATAAGAGGTAACTATACATAGTTATCTTTTCTGGTGCTCTTTATCCTTTCCTGTAGACCCAAGCTTCCATTTGATGTCATTCCCTTCAGCTTGAAGAACTTCCTTAGCATTTCTTGTAGTCTGGGTCTCCTGGCAATGAATTTGGGCACTTGTCATTTAACAAGGCTTGAGAATTTGATTCAATCCCAGCTACCGTTACAGGGTTCAGACAACCCTAGCAATTCCCCGGGAATGGACTCACCCCAGTGAGTGAATTTCACAACCCCAGAAGCCTCATCCTGGCAGTGTGGAGGGGAACTGTTGCCAGATTTATTTTTCTAAAAAAAAAGTTTGGTTCCCCCAATTTTAAAATCTGTTGGCTCCCTACGACCTACAGGACCAAGACCCAAAACCAAACCTTTTCCCTTGACATCGAAGCCCTTCACAATCTTTTCTTTTTAATTTATTTTTTCTTGCAGTAACATTGGATTATAATTTTCAAATGTACATTGTAATACACTTTGAATTCTGTGTAGATGCCCTTCACAATCTTGCCCCAACCTACTTCCTACCTTTCCTCCCCACCCCTATCTAGGAGGCCCTAACCCTGTGTTACAGCCATTCTAACGGTTTCTTGTTCTCCAAGCAGGACATTGACATTCTGGCCTCCCAGCTTTTGCCCAGCTTCTCTCGTGTTTGTTGAATGAATGAATGATCCGGCATGCCTTTTCACCTTATTTATCTCGTGTGCCCGCCAGGCCTGGCCCGATGTCTTCGTCTCTACCTCTAGCCCGAGTCTACAGTGCCCGGTGCTGGGCCCGCTGCCGCCGAGGCACCACCCTCACTGTCCCCACTCCTGCCCTGGAGCGGCTCGGCCCAAAGCCCCCCTGGAGACAGCCCCGCCCAGGGCCGGAGTTGGAGGGCGGAGGCAACGCCCACCTCGCCGGCCGCCTGGGATTGGCGGGGCCGCCGCCAGGAGGCGGGGACAGAGCCAGGCCGCTGCTGACGCACTCCGGGCCAGAAAAGCCCCGCCGGGTGGCTGGCGGGAGACGACTGCACGCCGGGCGGTGGTAAGTGTGCCGCGGCGGGACGAGCGGGACAGGGGGACGCAGGGAGCGCCGAGGACCGTGGCGCGCTGGGCGCTGCCCACGTCCGCCTCCCCGTGGGCTGCGCTCCGCCCAGCGCCGTGCCCAGCCCGGAGCCCGTGCCTCCCGGGGGCCGGGAAGGTCGTCAGTCCCATCTTGTCTTCCAGACGCGGAGGACCGAGGCTCCCGGAAGACGAGGAACCACCCAACATGGCATCAGAGGTGAGTGGAACCTCGGGGACGCCAGTCCTCCGAGACTCCAAACGAGGGGGAGGGGCGCCCCGGGCCCCTGCGCACGTGATTTCCCCATGCCGGACCTGCTGCCGCCGCCCTTCTGGCACCTGTCCTCGCTGGCTCCCGGCGGTGGGTACCCTCTGGCGCACCTGCCAGAGCCCGGAAGAGGTGTTTGCCCAGACTTCCCGGTGTACCCATCATCTCTACTTTCCCCCCTCTCCCCCTCCCCAGATGGCCTGTGTGGCAAACTCACCAACCCTCCCTGCTGGGGAAGGTGGCCCTGACCTGAGCTGACCTGACCTGACCTGACCTGACCGTGCTCCTGGCTGGGGCGGGAGAGGTGCTGCCCACTCATTCAGGCCCCTCACCTTTTCCTTCCTTCTTCCCCCGTGTCCTCCGATTAGTCCCCACCCCGTGCCCCTCTCCTGTTGTGGCAGTTGGCCCTGTGCAGCAGAGTCCATGTGACTCTGTGTAGAAAGAGCCAGGAGGCAGGGGACCATGCCCCAGTGGCCCCAGTGCCCTGTGACTTCCTGTCTCTTCCTTAGAGCCGGAGGAGTCCTGGTTCTCTTCCTGACCACTGAGTGGCAGGAGTCCAAGGCAAAAGTTTCTTTCCTTGGGCTTCAGTTGATTTATCTAGCAAATGGGGATAATGATACCTATCTGCCTACCTCTGTAAGGTACTGAATCATGAGGTTGTTGCTTTGAACCCTTCAGGTGAAAGAGGCTGTTTGCTTGATGCCAGTGAAGGGAACCCTGGATCTGAGAAGCAGGAGGTCTGGGTTCCAGTCCCTTCTGGCCCTGATTAGCTGGCGAGTCATTTCTTCTCTCTGGGCCTCAGTTTGTTCATCTGAATAAACAGGATGAGAATGCTGGCTCTGCTAGCTTCTGGGTCGTGGTGGAGGGCCGGGGCAGGGCTTGGACTTTGGAGCTGAACAGGCTTGGTTTCTGAAGCAGTCACTCAACCTTCCTGAACCTCTTCCCTCATTTGTGAAGTAGGGGTAACAGTGCCCACCAGAGGAGGGTGTAATAGCATACGTAGAATGCCTTGCACAGGGCCAGGCAATAGCAGGTGCACAGTAAGCCGTGGCTAATGATACTACCAGTGGCAACACTGGTATTTCCCTTGTGCATTCTAAATTGACTGTTGCTCATTCATCCCAGCTCAACCCAAGGCCGGTGCTCCTTTGCCCCAAAGGGATCATTCTGGCCCAGATGTGCCCTGACTTGGAGCAGAGCCCTCTCCCGCTACATTGGGCCTCCCCTCTCCTCAGTGTCCAGGTCGTGGCACCTCACTGTGACATCCTCCTGGGGTGGGAGCTTGGCCCCAAGGCAGAGTGGGTTGCTTTCAGGAGACCAAGGGGCCAGGTGACCTCTTCTTGCCCCAGGCCATCCTGTGGGTTGGCACTAATTGGTTTGGCTGCAGCCGGCTTGTTAAGTAATTGTTATTACTAAGAACCCAGGCAGGCAGTCCAGGGGCCTGTTGCAAGAGGCAGTGCCAGGGCCCTGGCTGAGGGGCAGCCTGGCTCCCAATCCTGACTGGCTGGTCCTAGTCCTCTGGCCCCTTGGTCAGGACCGGGGCCCCACGTCGGGGCTTGCTGCAGATCTAGGGTTGTTGGGGCAGCAGGGCGGTAACGGGTTGTACAGCTCAGAAAGCTGATGGGGGTGGAGGCTGCGTCTGCAGGGCGGAGTCCTCTGAGAGCCAAGGCTCTTGGGCACTGAGGGATCAGTTCACAGCCTGGGGCCCGAGCCTGGGGGCGGCCTCCTGTGGTGCACACAGGAACCAAGCTAAGGCACACCCTGACTCTGGCAGTCCTCAGCCCCTTCCTTAGTAACGCCTAAAGTTTACTGAGTCCTTGTTGAGTGCCAGGCACTGTGCTGTGTATGTACTTAGCAAATTGTATCTAATCGAATGCTATCAGATGGGTACTATTATCCCTATTTTATAGAAAGGCAGCTCTGAGGCTTAGAAAGATTATGTCATATGCCCACGGTCAGGTGGCTAACAGTGGTCTGGGACATTGCAAGGGGACAGAGGAGGCTATCTGTCCCCAGTGGCCATTATAAACCCCCTCTCCACAGAAAAGATGCCAGTGAAGTAACATGGCCACATCTACCCTGGCACACTCTCCTCCCAGTCCTTGGCACTCTAGGTGCTTGGACTGCTTCTCAGGTGTTTGGTACCCCCTGTCCCATCTGGCCTATGCCCTGGCCTATGCCCTCTTTCAAAACAGAAGCGACTGTGTCATCCCTCTGCCCTTGGCTCCTGGGGGGCAGAGAGTCACCTAGTGACCTCCTAGAAGGCCAGTGATAGGGTATGTGTCAGGGGTGCTCTCCCAAGGAGTGGTGGGGGTTGGAACTTTAGGCCCCACTCCAAGCTGTGGGAGGGAGATTCAGGTAACTTGAGCCTGATGGGGCCCCTCAGGTGCCTCACTGCCTGTCCCTACAGCAGAAGTTCAGGACAGCAGAGAGGCCCTAGTGGAATGTGGGGTTTAGAGCGTAGGTTCTGACTTCAGACTGCTAGGCTACAGTCCTGGCTTTGCCACCCCCAGTGAGGGCAAGCTACATAACTGCTCTGTGCCTCGGTTTCCCCCTCACTGTAGTGGAGTAGTATTGGTACCTACTTCAGAGGGTTGCTGTCAGTGCATGCCAAGCATTTGGAACGATGCCTGACACAGAGTAGGAATGCAATATATGTTAGCCAGTATTATCATTATCATTGGTACATCAGAGCTGGATTCTAGAGTGACTTCTCACCTTGGTCAGTGACAGGAAAGGGACCAGAAGTTCTGCTTTGGTCTCAGGGGTGCCTTGTACCCTGTCACCATCTCCCTAGAGCAGTGTCATGTTGGGGGCAAGAACCTTAATTTCAGTGTCCAGCCATGTTCCCACACACCCTCCCTGAGTGATTTCAGGCAAGTTCCTGACCCTTTCTGAGCCTCAATTTCCTTATCTAGCCAATGGGAATAATCCTGCCCACTGCCATCAGACTTGATAACTCTCCTGAGGGCCTTTTGCAAGAGGCACTCTTCTCAAGTGGAGGGAGGAGATTAATTGTTCCTGCTTTCCTGGCCAGAGCGGGAAGCTGTGGGGTGGCCGGTTTGTGGGCACGGTGGACCCCATCATGGAGAAGTTCAACTCATCCATCACCTATGACCGGCACCTGTGGGAGGTGGACGTGCAGGGCAGCAAGGCCTACAGCCGGGGCCTGGAGAAGGCGGGCCTCCTCACCAAGGCTGAGGTGGACCAGATACACCATGGCCTAGACAAGGTACTCTTCACACCCCAAGGCCCACCCTAGGGCACCTCCCTGTGGCCCTGGCTCCCACCAAATCCCTGAGCGCAGGTTTCCTTGTCATCCCAAGCCTGTCATTTCCCTTTGTGGTGATTAAACACCTAGAAAGGTACCCTTTAACCATGTGCTGTGCTCACCATCTCTCTTCATCCTTTAATGCCCCCTAGGCCCCGTGGCTCATAGGCAAAAGTGTGCTGGGCTTGAGATGCTCCCTCAGGGGTGGGGGCTACACAGGCCCCTTCTCTGGAGCACTCCTAGGACTCAGCTCCTATACAGGGACAGTCAGTGATCAGGTGACGGAGGGACTAGAGCCAGGATCCCCTTGGCTGCCAATGCCTGCCCGCTGACCCCCAGGGTTGCTGCCATCTGCTACAGGTGGCTGAGGAGTGGGCCCAGGACACCTTCAAACTAAACCCCAATGATGAGGACATCCACACGGCCAATGAGCGGCGTCTGAAGGTACGACTCCCACCTCCCCGCCGGCCTCCCCTCTCTGCCTCACCCTGGGCCACTTTGAACATAGCGCCATCATTCTGTTCCCCTCATCACTGGCAGAGTACAGGCAAGACATCAGAACAGGAGGCCTCAGCTAAGATGGCAGAGACTTGGGCAAGACCAGGGGGCCCTAGGGCAGGGAGGGAGGGCCACATGGCTGGGGAGGAAGCACGCTCTGCCTGGGCTGACCCCACCCTCCACCCCCAGGAGCTCATCGGAGAAACCGCAGGGAAGCTGCATACAGGACGAAGTCGAAACGACCAGGTGCCATGAGCCCCTCTGCCCCCCACCCTGTGCCTTCCCAACCTTGGGGAGCCTAGGCAGCAGAGTTAGGGCTCAGCACATCTGCCTCCCTAAGTGCCACTTCCTCCTCCCCGTAGGTGGTCACAGACCTCAGGTTGTGGATGCGGCAGAACTGCTGGACGCTCTCTGCCCTCCTCTGGGGGCTCATCAGAACGATGGTGGATCGGGCAGAGGCGTGAGTCCCCTGGGGACACCCCAGTGGCAGAGAGGGCCATGAGGGTAGCCAGGATCTCCTTACGCCTGAGACAGGCAGCCTGAACACCAGACCTAGATGACAGGTGATGAGGGTTGAAGAGTCAGGCCTTGGTGTACAGGGGAGGTCCAAGAACTCCTGCACTGAGTGAGGCAGAGAGCCAGGAGTGGGGCATTTTTTGCATTGTCCCCTACCCCCATGCCAGCCTAGCTCAGCAGGCAGGGCAGGCTCACCCTTTGGGGATTCAGAGGCAGGAGGCCAAGGTACTAGGCAGATGCCCTGAAGCCTGAGGAAAGGGGCCGGCTGTGCCTAGGGCATCAGAGTCATTCCTCAGCTGGTCTGTGCCCCACGTCCCCCATCCCCACCCAGCATGGTTGGCAAAGGACAGAGCCAAAGGCCACCTTTGCTGGCTTCACCCCAAGCTTTGGTTTCTGTGACCTGACTGCTGAGAAGTCCCTATTTGGTGTCAGAGAGATGGTTCACCCCTCCTCTTCCCCAACTCCCAGTGACCCCAGTTTCATGGCCCTTACCACCTGGGGGAAAACAAGGGCACAAGTTCTGTCACCTGGGAGGCTGGGAGGAGTAGGAGCGACTGCTACTGAGCACAGTGTTTCTTTTTTGGGGTGATGAAAATGTTCTCAAATAGACACGATGATGGTTTTACACTAATGTATACACTTTAAATGGGTGAATTATATTTCAATAAAGCTATTTATTAAAAACAAACAAACCAGAACCATCACCCACAGCACCTCTGCCCTGCCTACTTTAAAGTGCCCCCAGCTATTTTGGGGTCCTCGGGAGCTTCTCGTGTGCTCACAAACTCGGACTCCCACTGCCTCCTTCCCTGCTCTGGCCCTGCTCAGATCAGCTGCTGAGGTGCAGAGGCCCGAGCTGAGGGTGTAACCTTGCCTGATCCTGGCCAAAGCCTCGCCCCCTGGAGGCCCCAGGCCCTGGCCCGGTCCTGGAATCACAGTGCCCCACTCTGTGACGTGTTTGTCCCAAGGAGATGGTTTGGTCCCCCATGAAGGCAGATCTTTAGTAGGCCTGCCCTGCTCTTCCCTGGAGGGGTCCAGGCCTACAGGGTCCTGGGTGTCACAGGCAGGCCTCACCTGAACCTCCTGAGTCCCTCAGGTCCCTTGCCCTTACTCTTATCCCACAGGGAACGTGACATCCTCTTCCCAGGGTACACACACCTACAGAGGGCTCAGCCCATCCGCTGGAGCCATTGGATCCTGAGGTGAGTGAGGTGAGGTACAGGGGCTGTGATGGATGGGAGGGACCAGGCAGTCCTGACCCTCCAGCCCCTTGCCTTCCCACAGCCATGCCGTGGCACTGACCAGAGACTCTGAGAGGCTGCTGGAGGTGCAGAAGCGGATCAACGTCCTGCCCCTGGGGAGGTGAGTGAGGCCCCAGTGCTCCAAGGGTGGGAGGTTGGAGGTTGCTGCCACATAGTTAGCATGGCCCTTGGGGGTCAACAGAAGTGGGGGAGCCAGGAAGGACAGGGGGACAGAAAGCCAGGTAACTGGCCTGCCTGTTCAGGGTTCTTGCTACACAAGTGGGAGGGGGACCCTGCATGGACCTTTACCTCTCTCTAAGATGCAGACAACCAAGCTAGCTAGTGTGTCAGGGCAGGGCCAGAGCTCTCCAGAGAGGCTCCAGAGAGGCCAGCCAGCTGCCCACAGCTTGCCCTGTCCCCCGCATGGGAACAAGTGTCTGGCACCCAAGCTGACTGGGCCGAAGCCCTGGCAGCCAGGGTCCTGCCCTGGGTGTGCATGTGTCTGTGTGCCAGGGCCTGCCTGCTGGGAGCCCTGGTCACTCAGAACACATGTCCCTGCAGCGGGGCCATTGCAGGCAATCCTCTGGGTGTGGACCGGGAGCTGCTCCGAGCAGGTGAGGCGCCTTGCCCCTCCACCCTGGGGAAATCACCCTCAGCACCAGCCATGTCCCACAGACACATACTTAGAGAGGGCAGGAGTCTGGATAAAACCTTCGTTTATTATGGACGCTGAAGCTGGAGAGGCAAGAGAAGGCCCATGGAGGGGTGCATGGTGCTGGGGAGACTCAGGGCTCCAGCTGCCTTCCTGGGACCTGTCCAAGAGACCTCCCCCCACTTCCTGCCACTACCTACTGTTTCTCCCTGAAAGGGGGCTGGGAGGGTGGCTGGGCCCCTGGTTTGGGTAGAGGAGACCCCTCCTTGCCCTCCAGCCCAACCCTGTTGCCTTCCCGTCTGCCCCTCTGCCAGAACTGAACTTTGGGGCTATCACTCTCAACAGCATGGATGCTACCAGTGAGCGAGACTTTGTGGGTGAGTCCTGGGGCCAGCCTGCTCAGCCTCCAGGCCCTTGCGCTGTCTCTCACCTTTGTCCCCCAGCCCTGGCTCCTCTCCAGCCTCCTCCCACCCCTTTATAGTCCACCTGGAGCTTCTCCAGGCTGAATGAGGAAGAGAGGCCTGGTGACCAGAAAGCCTGCTCTCCCTTCCATCCCACAAGCTGAGTTCCTGTTCTGGGCTTCACTGTGCATGACCCATCTTAGCAGGATGGCTGAGGATCTCATCCTCTACAGCACCAAGGAATTCAGCTTTGTGCAGCTCTCAGATGCGTACAGGTAAGGCTGCCCCCTGCCCTGCTCCAGCTCTGCACCCACCAGCATGGCTTCCTTCTTCCCCACCCCACCCCCTGTGCAGACCTGGACTGTGTGCTGCTGGACATGCCCCACCCTAACCAGCAGACCAGACAAGGGGAAGGGGAGCCCCTTCAGCGCGAGCATCTCTGTTCCCAGCACTGGAAGCAGCCTGATGCCCCAGAAGAAAAACCCAGATAGCCTGGAGCTGATCCGGAGCAAGGCGGGGCGAGTGTTTGGGCGGGTGAGCAGGGCAGGGAGTGAGGGCAAGGCCTCTGGGTTGACCTGGAGGGTCCTGAGAGAACTTTCAGGACGGGCTCCGAGGTCCAGCCTCCTGAGCCTCACTCTTCCCTCAGTGTGCTGGGCTCCTGATGACACTGAAAGGACTTCCGAGCACCTACAACAAGGACTTACAGGTGTGAGGCTGAGGGTGGTGGACCCACCTGTATATATGTCACACAGCAGTTCTCAGGGCCCTGGCATGCCCCAGTAGGGGCCCACAGAATTGCCATCTCCCATCCTGTGCACCCAGTCCTTGACTGCCCTGAGAGCTCTCTCCTTGCCCTCAGTGTAGGGTGTGCAAGGTGCTGAGTGTTCCCAGTGATGCCTCAGTAGGGGTGGGGCTACTGGGCCCTCATCTCTTGCCATTTGCCTCCTAGGAGGACAAGGAAGCCGTGTTTGAAGTGTCAGACACCATGAGCGCCGTCCTCCAAGTGGCCACTGGTATCATCTCTACACTGCAGGCAAGTCATTCCTATTCTCCCTTAGGCCCCTAAATTCTGGAGTGGGCATGCCAGGAGGGGGATCTTGAGAGGAAGTGAGGGTGGGTAGTCCAGAAGACCTGGGGCAGGGGGAGAGAGGTATGTGCTTGTCCCTGCCCCTGGGAATGGGGAAGGGACAAAGCTTAAGTTGCTGCAGTAGAATGGAAGTGGATTAGACTTGAGGGGTCCCATCAACTGGCCCGAACAGATTTCCTTTTTAAACATTTATTCTGGGAAATTTCAGTATACAACAGTTGCGAGAATGTATAATGAATCGCCATGTTTATACGTTGAATCTGGCTTCAACAATAATCAGCACATGGCCATCCTTGCTTCGGCTATCTCCAGCCACTCCTCTCCTCCGTCCCCCCGTTATTTTTAAGCAAATCCTCATCATGATGTCATTTCATTCCTAGAGAGTTTAGGGTGTGTCTCTAAAGCAGTGGTCCTCAAAGTGGGGTCCCAGGACCAGCAGCACCAGCACACCTGAGAACTTGATAGAAATGAGATCCTGGGTCCCATTCCAGGACTACTGAATCAGAGACTCTGGGGGTTGTTATAAATCCTCTAGGTGATTCTGATGCATGCTAAAGATAAGGACTCTGAAAAAGTAAAGGCAACCCAGTAGCACACCTAAAAATTCTCAATATTTGTAAAAAGGTGGCTCAAGCAGAGAGAGCAGAACAGGGTGGGTAAGAGCAGATCTGCCCTAGGCAGGGGACATCCTGTCTGAGGGGTAGGCCTGGTGCCTGGCGCTGGCAGCTTCAGGTCCCAGAATCCCTAGGACTCACCCTGCCCCCGGCCTGCATCCCCCAGATTCATCCTGAGAACATGGCACGGGCTCTTAGTCCTGACATGCTGGCCACTGACCTTGCCTACTACCTGGTCCGCAAAGGGGTAAGTGTGGGGTGGCTAGGGTGGAGAGGTGAGGGGAGGAGGATGTCCCCAGGTCAGGGGTGGGGGTATCAGGGAGGGTGTGGGCAGAACAGGGAACAGAGGAAGCCGGCATCAGTGCCCCCCTCCGCCCCGGTGCCCACAGATGCCATTCCGCCAGGCCCACGAGGCCTCTGGCAAAGCCGTGTTCATGGCTGAGACCAAGGGGGTTGCCCTTAACCAGCTGTCGCTGCAGGAGCTACAGACCATCAGGTGCGGTCCTCCCCTCCCTCTGCTGCCTCCCAGGGGGTGAGCCTGGGCTCCTGAGGCCGGGGTGGCCCAGCTGCCCTGGTCCATCTCCTCCTTTACCCCCAGCCCCCTGTTCTCGGGTGACGTGAGCCACGTTTGGGACTACGGGCACAGCGTTGAGCAGTATGCTGCCCTGGGTGGCACGGCGCGCTCCAGTGTTGACTGGCAGATCAGCCAGGTGCGAGCACTGCTGCGGGCACAGCAGGCCTAGAGCCCTCCCCACCACACCCTGAATAAAGTGGGCCCAAGAGGAGGCTGCTGCGTGTTTCCTGCCTAGCCCGTCCCTTCAGCTGTGGTCTTTCCAGAATCTGTTGAGCAGGCAGTGGGGGCATCGAGGAAGTGGGAAAATGGGGCAAGGATGGTGAGAGTTACTGATGGGGAAGGGAAGAGGAGATTGGCCCTATGCAGGCCCCACCCACTTCACCTCAGGCCATCACAGTGACCTCCTGCCTTGGGTATGTTGGCAGGACTAGCCTCCTTGCAGCCCTAATGGGACCTGATGGGCTTGGTTAACTCAATCAGTCCTTGTCCATCCCTCTTCCTTTTAGTGTCCCCTAGGCTCTCCCTGCTCACATTCTCCTCTTTCTTAACCCACCCTTCCCTGGACCATCAGCCACCATTACAATGTGTCCTGTGCCCTCATGAGGGGAATGGGATATTTGGTGGTAAAGTCAGTCATCCAGCTGGCATGTTGTGCCAGGCGATACGTGAGCATCATACACAGGTGAAGACGGCTCCTCCACCCTGTGGAGTAATGTACAATTAAATTCCCAGTCGTTAACTGTGAGGCTAGGGCCACAGACAGGTCATACCTGGAGGGGGCCTGCCCTGTGCTGCAGTCAAGGGAATGTTGGTCACATTAAGTCTGCAAAAGGCTTGAGGCCAGGCCTGGCACATAGTGAATGTTCAATAGCAATGAGCCAGCAGAGACCTCTTCTACACAAATCTCACCACAATACTGAGGAGAAATGTCTGAAATTTACATTTTATTAACAAAAAAAATAAACTAAATTCAAGGAAGAATGAATAACTGCTCCCAAGTGATTCTGAGAGCAATGAAAAGACTTTGTAAACTACAGAACCAAAACTCCAGCAGTGGGGACATGACACCAAATCCCAAAAAGGGTCAAAGCTATGGGTCACAGATAGAATCTTCTAGAGTAGTGGTTCTCAAGTGTGAGTCCTGATCATTATCATCATCATCATCATCACCTGGGAGCTCGTTAAAAATGCAAACTTTCGGGCCCCACTGAGACCTACTAAATCAGATTCTGGGTGGGGCCCAGAGATCTGTTTTAACCAGTCTTTCGGGTGATTCTGATGTGAGCTCAAGCTGGAGAATCACTGGTCTCTAGAACCTTGTTACACAAAGTTGCTGCCGACCAGCAACATCAGCCTCACCTTGAGTCCCACCCCGACCTCCTAATTCGGAATCTGCCTTTTAACAAACTCCTCAGGTGCTTCTTGGGCACATTAAAGTCAGAAGTGCTGATCCAGAGAATGTCTAAAATCTAGTCTCAGAAGTGAAGGAGGGCCTTACATCCATCAAACAGCAGATGGGATTAAAATAGTAATTCTAATGCATGTGACACAGGGGAAGCTGGCATAGAGTGAAGAAGAAAGCTGCCGTATTGGTATTCTACAACCTGCATCAATGGGCGTGCCCCAATGTAAGTGAGAACTATGTTTTCAGAAAATCCTGTCAAAAGTTCCTCCTTAAGGGAATTAGAATTAGCCTTCCAGTGCTTCCCACCCTTGAGCCTGGCCGTGTGTGATCTAACCTGACCAGAAGGAGTAAACCTCGCCTAGCTCAGGGAGAACAAGAGTTTGTATAGCTTTTCTCTACACTCTGCCTATGCGTGACTGAGCTACTCCTCGTGTCTGCCTCTGTCTGTTCTGCTACCAACTGGCTTAATCTTTTCCTGTTGTCTACTTTTTGTTTTTAATCTCAGTGACGATTTACACCAAAGCTCAGTGTGACCTTATACTGGTTTCCTATTGCTGCTGTAACAAATTACCCAAACTTAGTAGCTTAAAACAACATAAACATTATCCTATACTTCATGAAGTCAGAAGTCTGAAATGGGTTTTACTGAGATGAAATCAAGTATCAGCAGGGCCATTCTTCTTCCAGAGGGTCTAGAGGAGAATCTGTTTGCTTGCCTTTTCCAGTATCTAGAGGCCACCTACATTCCTTGGCTTATGGCCCCTTCCTCCATCTTCAAGACCAGCAGTGTAACATCTTCAGATTTCTCTCTGACTCTGACCCTCAGCTTCTGTTGCCATATCTCCATTTTCTGACTGACCTTTCTGCCTCCCTCTTATAAGGACCCTGCCTTGTGATTACATTGGATACACCTGGATAAACCAGGATAATCTCCTCATCTCACAATCATTAACTTAATCCTACCTGCAAAGTCCCTTTCACCATGTTAGGTAACATTCACAAGTTCTGAGGATTATGACATGGACATCTTTGGAGGATCATTATTCAGCCTGCTACATTTTATCCTCTGGCTCTCAAAGATTCATGTCCATCCCACATGCAAAATACATTCACTCCATCCCAAAGTCCCCCGAAGTCTCAACCCATTATAGCATCAACTCAAGTTCAAAAATCTCATCAACTCAAAAGTCCCATATCTCATCATCTAAATCATCTAAATTAGGTATGAGTGAGACTCTGAGTATGATCCATCCTGGGGCAAAATTCCTTTCTATCCATGAACCTATGAAACTTGTGTGATTGTGCTGAGGATTAAATGAGTTCACAAATACAAACTCGAGAAACAAATTATCTACTCCCAAAATGCAGTGCTGGTTTAGGCAGAGGATAACAGTTATAGACATTTCAATTTTAAAAGGAAAAAAATGCAAGGAAAGAAGGAGTCACTTGTTCCAAGAAATTTTGAAATTCAACCCAGCAAACTCTATTAGGTTTCAAGGCCTGGGAATAATGTTCCATGGCTCTCAGCTCTCCCCTCTGGGCCCATACCACCACCCTCAGAGTCATCGTTCATTTTCTTGAAGAGTAGCACGTGTTTGTAGCTGAGTAAGATATAAGCATATCAACCTGTTTCCTGCCTGCAAAATTTTGAGACAACTTTGAGGGCCTTTAATTTCTTCTCTTTGTTCCTTTTAGTCCTTCTGGCAGTGTTTTTGCTGACATAACATCCTCAAGAACTCCGTGGGTCTCCTGTGTGTGTCACAGGAGTTTACTTCTTTAGACAAGATCCATAGATCTCTCCTAGATAATCCCGTCTCTTTTTCTGGCTTCTCCTGGGATCTATGAAGGGATCCATGAGTCACGTGCCAGATCTCTTCAAAGAGCACTCAATGACAGAATACTCTGACGTTTTTATCCTTTCCAGGCACTAGCAAAAGTTTGTCCAACCACACCCTTGGCTTTCTCTCTAAAGCATGCTTTCTGACAGTAATCTCCTAACTTTAGCATGTTTTGCAATCTAGATGGGCTGAGCATTTCCCAAATCATCAAATCCTGTTTCTTTTTGCTTACCAATTCTTACGTCAATTTATCTTTCTTCTTTCATTTTATACCCTTAGCTGCAAGGGATGCTGAGAAAGCAAGTGCCTGGCAAAAGAGAATGAGGTTGTCTTATTGGTTCTTGTACTTAACTTTACCCCTTGGGGATTGGGGCAAGGCCCACTTCACTGAGCCTGTTGTCATCTGAACAGAATCAGGGTCTATAACTAAGGAAGAAGGGAGCAGGCAATAGCTATTGGTTTAGTAGCCAGTGGCATCCAGAACAGGTGATTACTGTCCTACTATTGCAGCACCAAGATTGCATTGACATGTTTGGGAACCACAAAACTGGTAGACTCCAAGTCAACAAAACTCCAGAGGTATGTTCCACATGAGGACTATGGAATTATCACAGCCTGTAATCTGTAGTTATTTGAAAAAGTGCAAACTAAAATTTTCCCTTGTAGAATTCATCTAGTTAAAGTGGACTTGGTTCTCTGACTCCTGCAAATTTGATCAGGATTTCTTCTATTTTTCTCACCTGAAATCACCAATAAAAATGATGAGGGCTATGGCTGAAGCCCTATGGTATACAATATGAGACCTCTCCCAGCTTACCTTTAATTGGCATTTTTGGGACATGTTTGCTCACCCAGTTATCATTATACTCAGTAATGCTGTCATCCATTCTACATTTTTCCAAAAACAGGTCATAAAAGAGTTTTTCAAATATCTTGCTGAAATCCAGATAGCCTCTATTAGAGCAGTCCCTCACCAACGTCTAAAAGAGATCAAGGATGTTATCAAAAAAGGGAGCAAAGTTACTTTTATAGAACTTGTATTTAGGTGAAACTATATTGGCTCCCAGTTTCTACCAATTCATTTTCTTTTTTTTTTGCTTTCTTTCTTTCTTTTTTTTTTTTTGGTGAGGAAGATTGGCCCTGAGCTAACATCTTTGCCAATCTTCCCCTTTTTGCTTGGGAAGGATTGTTGCTGAGCTAACATCTGTGCCAATCTTCCTGTATTTTGTATGTGGGATGCTGCCACAGCATGGCTTGATGAGCAGTGCTAGGTCCACACCGAGGATCCGAACCTGTGAACCCTGGGCCGCTGAAACAGAACATGCAAACTTAACCACTATACCACCAGGTTGGCCCCTACCAATTAATTTTCTAAGTGCATATTATCCATCCCTTTTATTCATTCATTCTTTTATTTTTATAACAGCTTTATTGAGCTATAATTTACATTCCATAAAACACGCCCTTTTAAAGTGTTTGGTTTAATGGTTTTTAGTATGTTCACAGAGTCATGCAATTATCACCACAATGTTAGAACATTTCATCATTCCAAAAAGAAACCCATAAGAAAATTTTATGCTTCAAAGCAAGTGAAAATACATCCACAGAATGGGAGAAAATATTTGTAAATCATACACCTGATAAGAGTCTAATAGCTAGAATATAAAAGAACTATTACAACTCAACAATAAAAAGACAACCCAAATAAAAATGGGCAAAGTATCTGGATAGACATTTCTCCAAAGAAGATCTACAAATGGCCAATAAGCACATGAAAATATGTTGAATATTTTTAATCATTAGGGAAATGCAAATCAAAAACAAAATGATACGTCACTTCATACCCACTAGGACGTGAGTTAATTTTCGTATATAGTGTTAGTAGAGGGTCCAACTTCTATTCCTTTCTGTGTAGAAATTCATTTGTCTCATCACCATTTGTTGAGAAGACTATTCATACCTAGTTGA